TCTCTCTCTCTCTCTCTCTCTCTCTCTCTCTCTCTCTCTCTCTCTCTCTCTCTCTCACACACACACACACACACACACACACACACACACATGTTGTGCATGACGCATAGTGTGCTGCCAGATGAAGATATCTTTAAGGGGGTGCCATTCAAGACGTGTGCTGTTGTGGGTAATGGTGGCATTCTGTTGGAGCAGGTAAGATCCTTGCATGACATCGCTATACACTTTCTTGCTTCTTCAATTGAACTAATCATGACCTCTCTAAACCTTTGGTACCTCAAACTCTCTCCTCCTGAGGCGATCTCCCTCCCCCCGCCCCCCCCCCTCCTTCCCTATCATGAAGGAGGGTTACAGAATGTCCAAACCGCAGGGCCTTGGAGCCAAGGTTGGTTTGACCACAGGTCAGTTTGACCGGCTGAGATTGGTTTGACCACAGGTCAGTTTGACCGGCTGAGATTGGTTTGACCACAGGTCAGTTTGACCGGCTAAAGGTAGTTTGACCACCACACATCGGTTTGACCGACTAAAGTTGGTTTGACCACAGGTCAGCTTAACCGGCTAATGGTGGTTTGACCACCACACATCGGTTTGACCGACTAATGTTGGTTTGACCACAGGTCAGCTTAACTGGCTAAGGTTGGTTTGACCACAGGTCGGCTTGACCGACTAAAGCTGGTTTGACCACAGGTCGGTTTGACCGGAAGGTTGGTTTGACATGTTTTAGCCTTCGTGAAAGAGAACAAAGAAAGACAAAGGAGGCAATCGGTTCGAACCCTGAGAAAGAGCGCAGAAAGAAGGATGGCGATCGGTTGAACCTGAATGCAAGGATCAATGACATTGAAATTGAATAAAACTATGTTTGTGCTCCTCCCTCTTCTACTTCCGTCCTCTTTCTTCCTCCATGCTCCTCTCCCTCTCTCTCCCAAATCACCTCACAATGGTATCCTCCAATGATTTGCAACTGCTGACCTTCCTCTCTCTCTCCCACATCGCTCTCTCCAGAACTCAATGTAACAGTCAAACTCAATTTCACGTGTGTCAGCCTTAGTTTTGAAGTTTCCAGTGCTTTAACCATCGGCACTTTTGACCCTCCCACACTCCCCACCCCTTCTGCACCCAGATCCCAACAACTATTGCAACCATCGGATTTCTATCTATTGGTTTCATATATCAGCGCACTCATTGTCCCACTTGTACAACTGGCCCACCAGTTTTGATGTCATATGGTGCATGTTATGGTCACTGTAATTTTTTGCACCTTCTGTTATTGTTGCTGTTAATGTCACTGTTACTATTAGTGTTACTGTTGCTGTTACTGTTACTGCCACCGTCACTGTTACTGTTCCTGTTACTTCTGTTGCTGTTACTCCTGTTGCTGTTACTACTGTTGCCGTTACCTCTATTGCCGTTACTCCTGTTGCTGTTACTCCTGCTACTGTTACCGTTACTGTTACTCTTACTGTTACTGTTACCGTTACTGTTGTTGTTATTGTTACTGTTACTGTTACTATTATTTTTACTGTGTTACTGTTATTATCGCTGTACTGTTACTTTACTATTACTGTTATTGTTACTGTTACTGGTGCTGTTACTGTTACTGTTACTGTTACTGTTACTGTTACTGTTACTGTTACTGTTACTGTTACTGTTACTGTTACTGTTACTGTTGTTGCTGTTGCTGTTGCTGCTACTGCTGTTGCCGTTACTTTTGCTGCTGTTATTGCTGTTGCTGTTACTGCTGCTGCAACTGTTACTGTAGCTGTTGCTGTTACTGGTGTTAGTGTTGTTGTCGTTACTGCTGCGGCTGTTATTGTTGGTGTTTTTACTGTTGCTGTTATGGTTGCCGTTGCGGTTGCTGTTACAGTTGCTGTTACGGTTGCTGTTACGCTCGCTGTTATGGTTGCTGTTGGGCTCACTGTTATGGTTGCTGTTACACCTGCTGTAACTGTTGCAGTTACTGCCGTTGGTTTTACTGCTGAACTGTAACTTCCAGGAGCATGCTCCAACAACAACAAGAACAAAACAATTCCAGACATGTCTGTTCATCCTCCCTCCAGTTAAAACCAGGCAATACTCTGCTGAATACTTGACCAGCCATCGCCCTCTTGAGAACCACCTTAGCGTCGCCTCTAAAAGTTGAAGAAAACGAGTCGGAAAAAACTCTGACGTCTTTTGCTCGGTGAATCGTCAGAGTCCACCCCTCCCTCTCTCACCCACCTTCAGCGGTATCTGAGAAGGTGTGTACTCTCCTCCATCCTCTCAGCAACCCTCCAATCAGCAGCCCACTGAGCTGCGTCACTAATCATCTCCCTGGGTCTCACTCTCCGGCGGCGACTGTGGGACTCCCGACTTGGTAGTATATATCCTCCTCGCCCGGCAGATTGTGTTTCATCCTCCCAACTGCGGAACTTCGGAGTACACACCCTCAGCTCGGCTGGCAGATTCCGTCCTGCGGCCCCAAATCCAAATCCACAGCCATCAACTGTGGATTTCAGAGCTCATGTCTGCCTGCCAGGCCTCAGGAGAGTGGATGAACACAGAAAAGTGCGCAAAAACTAGCGAAGCAGGTGCATGAAAAAAAAAAAAAAAAAAAAAAAGAGGGCCGGTGCATGAATGTACTCTCAAGACTGAGGAGGTAATGCTGTCAGGTGCAAAAAAAAAAGAGGGCCGGTGCATGAAAAAAAAAAAAAAAAAAAAAAAAGACATTCAGCAGATCCTCTCCTGAACCTTTCACCGAAGGTATAACTGTGGGCTCCTGCTGTCAGGCTGAGGAGCTTGGTACCCCTCTGATAAGTGCGTTGCCAGCCGGCTGCAGTAGAAGAGGTTTCGCTGCAGCAGTATGATCTCATCATTCATAATTGGGGGCGTGTTTTCTCAATTGCTGTCCCAGGAACCGCTGAGAAACAAGTGCAAAGATTATGTGGCTTGTTTCTCAGAAAACATATAAACACTATTAAACAGTCCATGTGATGGAAAATCCAACAACTAGAAGGCATGTTTTTTGTTTTTTTTTTTTTTTTTTTTTTTTAAGAGAATGCAGTTTTGAAACTCCAGCTTCTAATGGAAAGTGTTTTTTTTTTTTTTGGTTTGCAACTTTTTGGATTGTTGGAAAACCAAAATTTTGGATAATACCTAGCCCATCTGGCTGAATGGTACACAGTTGTGCACGCATGTAACTAACTGGTGCTAGAAAGCGGGACATCATGTGTAAATCCTGATGGAAGCAAATGAAAATGTTAGGGCTTTGGGCGTCGTTAGACACTCCTTACGAGTTCCTTGAGCCACAAGGAAATTTCCTTGTGGCTTGATTATCTGTTCTGGAAAACGGTGCTCTGTTGTATCTGATTTGAGTCTTTGACCATTTTTTGCAATCTTTTTATTTGATTGACTCTGTCAAATGCCCAGGGAACATCGGCAAAATTGAAAAATGTGAAGGTTTCGAAAACGGGTCATGAGACTCATCAACAAAAATCCAATTGAAGACTACTGATCTTTGCTGCCCCTCATCAACGCGACAACACAGGAATTTGCTGACAAGTAGTTGTCTTCAATTGGATTTGATTGTATTGGCCTTGGGTTGGGCTTTGATTGGGTTTGGATTGGGTTTGGATTAGGTTTGGATTGGCTCTGGATTGGGTTTGTGCCCTGTTTGTGCTGGGTCTGGATTGGGTTTGGGTTTGGGTTTCGGGTTTGTGTGGGTTTGGGTTGGGGTTGGGTTGGGGTTGGGTTGGGGTTGGGTTGGGGTTGGGTTGGGGTCTGGGGTTGGATATGAATGGATAGGTTTGGAACTGTGGCGGAAATAAGATCCCTTCGCTCGATTTGGTTGGTGTGGTATTTTATTGGAACTTGGAGTGGGGTTAGATTGGGAGTTCAATTACATTTGGGTGGTTTGCCATAAGGCTGAGGTTCAGTTTTTGGTTTAGGGTTGTGCTAGATAGGGCTTGTGAATGGTTTGGGGAATCCCCTTGGTTAGGGGTTGGGGTTGGGGTTGGGGTTGGGTTCGGGTTCGGGGTCGGGGTCAGGGTCGGGGTCGGGGTTGGGGTTGGGGTTGGGGTTAGTCGGGAGATTGAGTTCACAGGAGTTTGGAAGAATCATCGATGCTCATGAAATGGTCATGAGGTTCAATATTGCACCGACGAAGGTAGGGTATGTTTTTTTTAACTTTTTTTTCTCTTCCGAAGTCTCTTCTTTTCGTTTCTTTTCTTCTCTTTTCCTTTTTTTTTCCCCCTTTTGTAAAAGCCTAAAAGGGAAATAGCATTGTATATGAAAACTCAACGAACGGAGGCTGCAATGTCTTTTCCTTTTGTTCAATAAAGTCAGACGTTAAGCCGACAGCTGCAATGCATCCGAGAGACTTTTTGCACACACTTGCTTAAACCACCAGTACTTGGCCCCACCATTGTTTTTTCTTTTGGGGCGTTAATGCGCCGCGTGTCTTCCGGGGCTTGGCCACTGGATCAAAATGGCTGGTGTCGTTAGCAAAATGGAGGCCCGCGCTGTGCGCGCAGCGCATTTCCGCCCCCGGAGAAAAAGTGCCTCGAAAGTACTGGTGGTTCAACTGACAAACATCCATTTGCGTAATCCATCCACTTCCAAGTTACCCCCTCTTACCAAAAAAAAACAGTGAAAATTTCAAACCCCTTCCTCACATAGATGTTCTTGACACTGTCAGCTTGGCCTAAAAACATGTAATCCAGAAATATGGTCTCTCTTTTTTTTAATAAAATTAATATACAAAAACGGGTTGAAAAACCGGCATTTTCTTAATGAACTGAAATTCGAGTCCGGGGACCTCACAATTCCACCCGTTCCAAAAAACAAAACAAAAAAAAACAAAAAAAAAAAAAATAATAATAATAATAATAATAATAATAAAAATAATAATAATAAAAATAAAAAATCCACCCGGAGTTATCTTGGCAGCATTAGCCAGTTTCGCTTATGACAAAACCCCAGAACCTTTTTTTTTTTTTTTTTTTTTTAATACGCACCCACAGAACCTGAAGCAAGAAGAATCACGAGATAGCTGACCAGATTGACACTGCCTCTGCTTCCTACATGTCTTCTTCTCCTCTCAGCTGTTCGAGCTGTTGGCTGACTATGCTTGAAGCTGTAGAGTAGCGAGGCTGGTCTTCCAGGGTTTCTAGCCTTGTAGACTATAACCCTTGAGGGGCGAAGCAATGGGGTTTTCCGCCAAGTTTGAATCTTTTGATTAAACCCTAAACCCTGTCTGAGGACTCCCATCTCCCTTTTGAGTCCTGTGGTTCAGAAGGAGCTTAGACCAACATTAAACTCTTGTGTGGGAGCCACCACTCCCAGTGAAGCTTCTTGTGGCAAGTCGTTCGTGTGCACGGGGTCCATCGGTGAGCTTCCATACTAACTTCGGTCTGTCCCTCTCAATGCAACCCAGTTTTCAGGTGCCCAGTGTGTCCTTGGTGAATTTGTCTATCATGTCTTGTTTTCTTGTGGGGTCTTGTTTTTTGCTTGAGCATCCGTCGCCGGTCGGTTTGGTATTCAGCCCGCAAGTTGTGCGTGGTCATCTCCCATGCTTCCAACAGCGGCACAGTTTGGGTGTCCATTGTTTCCTTGCACCACCACTTTGCTCTCTTCTCAGGGCTTTTGCTTCTGAGATGCTACTTATGTATAAACAAAAAGAAAAGTGGCATTGTATATTTCCATGTTTTAGCGGAAGATTCATTCCGATTTTTCTCATCCAATGGATGGGACAATTGCCCTTCTTAGAGTATAGTCACACTAAGCCCTGAGAATCACAGAATAGCAAGGCCCTCAAAATCCCAGAATACCAAGGCCCTCAAAATCGCAGAAAGAGCGAAATGAGCTGCCAGATCTAGGCCTCATTTTAGTAGGACTCAATCTGGGTCTCCGGTTTTGGGATTCTGCGATTTTTTGAGGGCCAAGTGTGATTGTGCCCTTATCTAGTCCATGCAGTACCTGAAGTGCATGATTTTTTTTTTTTTTTAATTTTATTTTTTTTCTGAAGTGCATGAGTTCGAATCTAACCAGTACCTGCGCACATTGTAATTGTTAATCAACAGGACATGGGTTCAATTCCAGATGGAATCAGATGAACCTGATATAGTTAGGGCTACACCCTTGGAAAAAGAGGGGGGAGACCGCTCTTTTTTCTTTTCTTTTCAAGTACTTCGAATCATTATTGCTGCAGCCTATTGCCCCAGGGGTTACCCCTGGGTAATAGGATTGGTCATACTGGTTTCCCAGAGGCTCCTTTCTATTTGGGAGTGGAGAGCTGCACCTGGACGCTGGGAACGGGGCCCAGCATCCCATAGATCACATCAAATAGAGGCCCCATTAATGGCAGCAAGTACAATTTGGGGGTGCGACCTCCCTGGAAACAATTTGGGGTTTTCATTCCTGATAATGTGGGAATTGGAACTAGAAGCCATTCATCTTTTGAAGACGTCTACATCTCCATGAGGGGGGAAAAACCAACTCTTTTTTTGACAACGGGTTTGAAAAAACAGATTTTTTTTTGTTTTTTATTACACATGGGCTCAGTGCCCAAGGCCAAAACACGTTACACACGGGCTCGGTGCCCAAGGCCGAAACACATTACCCACGGGCTCGGTGCCCAAGGCCAAAACGCACGCTGGAGTCCTTCCGGGCATCTGCTCCAACGCATGGGCGTGGTGCCCAATGCCAAACCACATGAGGGAGTCCTTCAGGACGTCTGTTAAAATTGGAACGACGCAAGGAAGATTAGCATGGCCTGTCCTCATTCAAGGACGGGCGACATCCATAAATCGAGAGGCGAGCATTATGGAGAACCTCCAGAAGCTCCAGGAAGAGAAGTGTTGGCTACATACATGCAAGCGCATGCGGTGCGGGCAATTGCGCACGTATGGTGCACGAGCGCACAGGATCCGTGTGGCACACGGTGCACTCGCAGGTTTCGCACGTCACGAGGCGCACTGCACCGCACGGCCGTGCGGCTTGTGCGGTTGCAAGTATGGCTGGCTATGATGGCTTCAAGCCGAAGAGGCGAGCAAGGAGTAGA